CTGTCCAGAGGGGCTTGGGGGGGGTTTCCTTCTGCGTCTCGGCAGGGACTGCCCGGGGTCCCCCGAGCTTCTCCAAGGGCTGAGACTCCCGTGCTGCCCCGTGTAGCTGAGGGAGGGGGTGAGAGCTGCCCCTGCGTTTGCTCAGCTCCTCCGCAGCGCCCGGGGAGCGCGGGCAGGCACATCCTCCCCAGAGTGAGAGTTGCGTTGCCTTGGAACATGCAGCCGCGTGCTGGGGTCGCGTCAGAGCGGGGTCTGCTCCTGGAGCCCCATGTAGCACTGGAAGATGGTGCTCCTGCTTTAAAGGTAGAAGCTGTTTTCAGTAAGAGCTGCTTGCCTTGCTGCTGCTGCACTCTGTCTCCTGGGTCAGGATATGTGCTTTAGAGCTGGCCTGGCTGTGGCTCCTGCTCCCTCGCGAGCTGCGCTGCTGCTGTGCCTGCTGGCGGGGGCACTGCCGCAACGACGCCGAGACGCAGCTCGTAGTTGTGTTACCCTCCTTGCGAAATCAGACCTTGGTAAGAGCCGCATCCTTCCAGAGCGCTGCCCCGTGCAGTGCTGCATCCTGTAGCTGGAAAAGTGAGTCATCCTGTGGAGCCGTCCCCGTGTAGCTGTGGGGCTTGGTGGCAAGAGCAGCTAGGAGGCGAGAGCAGGAAAAGGGACACGGAGCTTGGGCACGGTGGCCAGAACGGGAAGCGGGTGGGAGATCAGAGGGGCGTTGGAGGCCTGTTGGGCCCTGCCTGGCTGAAGGTACCATCTTCCCAAACGGACGTGGGACAAATGCGCTGCCTCCGTGCGCGGGAGGGAGGGCGGGAGGAGGGCTGGACCGCGTGGAGCAGCTTCGGGAGGTGCTGCTGGTACCCGAAAGCGCAGCTGGGGTTTGAGTGAGGCCGGGCAGCTGCTACTTTGCCGTTTCCTCGTGTTGTGATCCCGTTCCGGTCTGTCTACCATTAGCACATCACTCCTGCAGCTTGGTACCATTCGGAGACCACGTTTTAGCACATGGACACGTCCTTGGCTTGCTCCGCTCCAGCAGCGGTGGTCTGGGCTCCCAGAGCGGTACCCGGCTGTGATTGTCGAGCAATGTTTGTACAGCGGCACGGCCTTGGCTGTTACCTCCGAGTTTCCCTTCTGTTGCGGGCTGGAGTTGTCTGATGTTAACGAATGCGGCAGGTTTTGAGCCCAAGTTGGGCAGGAGGAGCCCTGAGGCTGCACACTGGAGACTGAACAAGGGCCCTGGCGACTTGGTCCTGGTTGTTCTCGAGTGCAGGGGGGTTTCCTTGATGCCCCAGGAGGTCTTTGCTGCAGAGGTCCTTGTGTTCCTCCCATTGGTGCATGTTCTCTTTTGAAGCCAATCGTCTGCTTTTTATTTTAGCAACAAACGAAACAGGAAACTAGGAAAAGTAAGGTGCTCCCATGGCGTTGCTGCTTGTGGAGCAGGCTGTGGAATTGCTGGGCTAGTAGAAGAAGTTAAGAAACATCCCAGAGAATTTTTCAAAATCTGAGTTGATCTTAAATTAGTATTTCAGTTTTCCAGGCCGAGATCCTGGTCTCGGCCCCGAACAGTTTCCCCCTGTGCCGAGTCAGTGGTGGTGGCATCAGTGTGGCTGTGGGACCACGTTGGTGGCGCGAGGGCCGCCCGCGTGCTCGGCTCTGCGGGTGCAGTGACGGGAGGCCGTGTGTTAACCGTGCCTTGTGCTCGTCTGCGTTAGACAGCAGTGCGTCCGGCCCAGGAAGAGGGACAGCAGCACCTCGAGGCAGCTGTCACTTGCCCCTGTGCGTCTTCCCGTGAAGTGAAACAACGCAGGTCAATAAATCTTGGTTTTTATTCCTGCCCGTCTGTGTGCCCTTGTTCCGTGCAGCAGCGTGCGGCCAGGCGGGGGGCGCAGGGCCGAGGAGCTCAACCTGAGCGAGGTTTTCAGCTTGGTGTGCGCAGGGGCAGGTCCTTGAGGGCACTTTCCTTCTTGCTACGCGAGCTCTGCTGCTGGGGGCACCTCCTACAGAACGTGCTGCCCGCGGCTCCCCGCGCCGGGAGAGGGGTGTCTGCCCGGACACAGGTTGTGCTTTGGAGGAAGCTTGGAGCGCCCGTGCCCCGCTGCCGGGGAAGGAGCCCGGCCTTGCTTGCAGCCTGCGTGCTTGGTGGCTGTTGTGTGTCACGCTGCCTCCTCCCCGCGCTCGGAGCGGTCGGCACGCGCGGCCC